CACACACACACACTCCCCCCCCCACACACACACTCTTCCACACACACACACCCACACACTCTCCCACACACACACACTCTCCCATACACACACGCGCACACACTCCCACGCATACACACACACACACTCTCCCTCCCCCACACACACATACAGTCTCCCACACACACACTCTTCCACACACACACACCCACACACTCCCCCACACACTCACTCACACTCTCTCTCACACACACACACACACACACACACACACGTGAATCTATGGGATGAATTTGTATTTGCAGATACATTCTATTTAGTTCAGAAAGCACACAATTTATAGACAGTCAGTCAATGTGGTGTGTTATAAATTCCTACTTTGGAAACAGAACTGCTCTGACTCCCAACCAAAACATGAACAGATTCTAAACAAGGCCTCACACCTAATATGTATTGTCTGACCTAAACTGTCACATCTTGTTTACATTGAGAAAACCTTTAGTTCTCTCAGTACAGTGACTTGAAAGAAATTTGGGGATTTACATATACATATTATTCAATTAAATCCTTCAAATTGATTGAAGATTTAACAGCATCTTAGGTTTATTTAATACATCCTCATCAGTTGTGTGACCCTTTGTTCTTTTAGTTATAAATTCTGTGGACTGTCTGCTTCTTTGTCACTTCACCTGACGAAGGGGCTGCGCTCCAAAAGCTTACGTATTCAAATAAACCCATTGGACTATAACTTAGTGTCGAGAGATCATCTCTAGCGAGAAACAATAATCACGTATTCTGAATGTGGAAGCGAACACATCTGTTTCACCAAGAATACAGTCACTAAGGATCAATGAAGATATTCAAGTTGAAGTGAGGAATACAGACACTTCAGCACAGATTGCCTAAAGAGTGAGAATGAAACTTGATTGAGAATTTGGTGCATATGACTTCATGGAAGTGATCACTGAGGTGGGACAACGAAAATCTATGGAATCAGGAAATGGTAAAAAAAAATGACATGGTCCAGAGAATGCAGGATGTTGCAAACCAAAAGCGTCAGTTTCACCAAGTTCACGTACATATTCATGGCTGAGGCAGACAGATTTCTGATAATTTAGGGAATCAAGGGTTATTGGGAAAGGTAGGAAAAACAATTTAAGGATGATCATGTAAGTCATTATCTTGATGAATGGCAGAGTGGACTCAATGGGATGAATGACCTACTTCTATGTCTTATGGTCATCCTCCAAAGGAAATTTGTGAGCTTGAAGATAAAACAAAGAAATTGCCTGTTACCAGAAAGGCATTTTCCACAAAGGAAACCCAAAAAACAGGTTCTTCCCTCCTCACAATTTCTCCCTTTACACTTTAGCCTTAAGGACTATATCTATCTCTTTCTTGATAACATTTAATGCTCTGGCCTCAACTGCTTTCTGGATGGGCAAATTTCCCCTCATCTCAGCCCTGAATGGATTTTTCCCTAAACTGTGACCTTTGGTTCATAGAACCCCAACAATGTAGATAGAGGCCATTCAACCAATCACATCCGCACTGACCCACCGAACAGCATCGCACCCAGACGCACCCTGTCCCCATAATCCCACAGCTAATCCATCTGATGTGCACAGCTTTGGACCCTAAGCAACCCTGAGGAAACCAATGCAGACACAGGGAGATAACAAGATGTAGAGCTGGATGAAC